TCGGGGGGAAATGAACAAAGCTTGGCACTGAATTAGTCTTCTAATTAAATCTTGATGTCGCCCTTTGCTTTTAAGATACCAGTTGTTGCCCAAGGAAGCAGAGAGCAGTCAGGATAATCAGTGACAAATGCACACACTGATTCACCTCCTTGAGGCATTGCATTCTGAGGCCGAGTTGCTAGTTTGATGTGGGAGGCACTGGCTTTTAAGATGCTCTCACTATGTGTTTATGTAGAGGAATTTTCCATGACAGTTCACCTGTCTCTGTAGAATGCTAAGAGATGCTTTTTATTGAGATAATCAGAAGGTCTTTATGAAAGATGTCTTGTCAATGGCTTCATGGTGGTTTGGAAGGCTCCAGAGGTTCAACAACAGTATCAGAAGTTGCTCTTCCCAGGGTTTGTTCTGATTTGATTAACGCAGCCTGCTGTACTGTAGAGCAGCAGCATTTGGGAGATTCAGTCAGTCCTGTACTTCATTTCTGGGTGTTGAGGGTATCCTTATCATAAGATACTAACCTCTTCTGACTGCATGAAACTCTGTACTTGGGCTTTATCAAGAGGCTTTCTGTTGTTGGAGGCAGCAGGAAAATATGAGGCCAGTTACTACAAGAATGGCTTAGACCACTGTTGTTTTAAATCCAAGTCTTTAAATATGGTTGCAAACATGTAAGTGGAATGAAGTTTGAGTGCTGCAGGGGGAATCCCACAGGCTGGGTTTGTGTAGCTGTGGTCAGGGACGGAGCTTTATCTTGCCATCTAAACACGCAGTTAATATAAACTTTAAACATGGCAATAATTCTCTTTCTAAGAATGCACTTTTCCAGGTTTTTCTTACCCTCTAATCATAAACCCCCACATTCTCATTAAATTATTTTCTTGCAATACTTCAGCACTTTTCAGCACATCATTGGTCACATCTCCATGTCACGCTGGCATAACAACAGATGTGCAGGGAGAGAATGATGTACCCCTGTAAAACTGAAGTTACGGGCTTGGATTTGTACCTCTAAGTCTGGAATTCCAGATTCTGCAGTTAGCAGTGGGATCAAGGTCAAGTGTGAATGCCTTGAACTTCCTTTTGACTAGATCAGTGTCACGAAGGATGAAGCAAAGTCTGGTTTCAGTCTTGAGAGCACAAAATAAAGGTCAGCTGAAGGGATAAATATGGAAGAGATCACATCAATACCTGCAAGACTGAGCAAACCTTGCCCCTAGAATAAAGAGCTAAATGTTTATTAATAGAATTTTTAATCCAGGTCCAGCTTTAGAACAGAGCTTCATAGAGAACTTAATGACAGCTCTTTGCCCCTCAGACTGGGTGTTAGAAGTACTAGTCCCTTGTTCCTGACAAGAATGTGCTTTAAGGTGTAGTCAGAGGAACTCCTAAATGAGCTGGATGTGGAATGAATGCCAGCTCCCAAGATTGCTTTAAGAATCACAGACTGGTTTGGGTTGGAAGAGACCTTAAAGCTCCTCCAGCTCCAACCCCCTTCCACTAGAGCAGGTTGTTCCGAGCCCCTGTGCCTTGAACACTGCCAGGGATGGGGCAGCCACAGCTTCTCTGGGCACCCTGTGCCAGCACCTCAGCACCCTCACAGGGAAGAGCTTCTGCCCCAGAGCTCATCTCAATCTGCCCTCTGGCAGGTTAGAGCCATTCCCCTCGTCCTGTCCCTACAGGCCCTTGTAAAAGCCTCTCTCCAGGAAGTTTTGCACATGTTTGGAATTACCAGAATCATTTATTAGACGCTTTTAGTTGCAGTTTTGTCATGCTGGTGGTAAAACAACGTCAGTCTCAATAAATCTGGTAGTCCTGGATGAGCGGCAGCTTCATTTTCCTTAGTTGCATTGTGTCATGTATGGTAAAGAGCACTTCTAAAGCAGATTTGTTACTTCTGTCCATTGCTTTAAGGTCACCATAGAGCACAGACAGGACTCTGATCAATCTGTTTTCCTTTGCTTATGAATACTGTGTGTTCCACTGAGCTCTCCCCATCTCTCCTGTGTGGACTGGCAGGTTGCTGCTGCTGCTGTTGTGTTTTGCTACTGTGTCAGAGCCTCTGATGCCTACATGGTTGCACTGTGAGTATTCCTTAGTCTCCGTTGCCTCCCCCTGCTCCAGAACAAGTTGTCATTATTTGAAGGACACAGGACAGTCAGGAGCCTGCCTTCTCCTTGACCTTTCAGACAGCTGACTATTCATGCAAATATTGCAAGTATGTTCTTCTGGAGAGAGCAAAGCATTCTTGCTGGAATATTGCTGCCCTCCACCAGAACCACCTACTAGAGAGGGCAGGAAAGTGGCATGCTAGTGATTCTTGGGAATGGTCTCTGTCTTGGTGCCTTCCACTTCACACAGACTGGCACCATCATACCAGAGAGCAGACCTGGTCTAGGTTTGGTTATTTCCACTGGCACTAAACCCACTTTCTTTAGAGATTTTCTGCTTTTCTTTGCTCTTTACATGGAGGAAGCAAATGGCAGCTCTGCTTTTTTCATTAAAGAAAGAACTGCATGAGGGAAGGCAAGGGTTGAAGGTATGTCCTCTAGGACTTGGAAGAAACCAAGAAGAAAAACCTTCATGGTATTTGTTTTGAACCAGTTTCTGCAGTGGAGAACAGCTGCTCTTCCAAAGGAAACATGGAGAGAAACTACAGCTTTTTTTTCAATGTGCTCTGACTGAAACACCCATCACAGGCTTCAGGCTCTACTGGGTCCTTCTAGACTAATGTTGTCCAAAGCACAGAAAGAATGAGCACGGGGTTACTTGGGGCTCCTTCTAATAGTGATTTTTGGTATTTTTTTGTTTTATTTTTCTTCTATCATGCATGAAAATATTCACTCTATGTCAAGTCCCTGTTGCCAAAATACTAGCTGAAGAGAATTTAAAATGTTAATTATAAGCCACATGAACTATTTTTATACATTTACACTGACATTTGCAACCCCATCACTCTTAACAGAGCGCAGAAGTAATAAGCTGTAAAATAGCATTTGAATGCAAAACTACATGCATCTAGATCATAGAATCATAGAATGGTTTGGGTTGGAAGGGACCTTAAGATCATCCAGTTCCACCCCCTGCCATGGGCAAGGATGCCTCACACTAGACCATGTCACCCAAGGCTCTGTCCAACCTGGCCTTGACACTGCCAGGGATGGAGCATTTATCACTTCTCTAGGCACCCTGTGCCAGCGCCTCAGCACCCTCACAGGGAAGAGCTTCTTCCTTATATCTAACCTGAACTTCCCCTGTTTCAGTTTGAACCCATCACCCCTTGTCCTATCGCTCCAGTCTCTGATGAAGGTCCCATCTCCAGCATCCTTGTAGCCCCCTTCAGACCCTGGAAGCTGCTCTGAGGTCTCCACGCAGCTTCTCTTCTCCAGGCTGAACAGCCCCAATGTTCTCAGCCTGTCTCCATACAGGAGCTGCTCCAGCCCCTGCTCATCCTCGTGGCCTCCTCTGGACTTGCTTCAACAGCTCCATGTCCTTCTTATGCTGAGGACACCAGAACTGCACCCAGTGCTGCCAGTGGGGTCTCATGAGAGCAGAGTAGAGGGGCAGGATCATCTCCATGACCTGCTGGTGCTCTTGTGCAGACAAATATCCCCAAATCATTCAGAACTCATTACTTTTGCAGTGAAAATGATTTGGGAATGTTAAAAAATGCACTACGGGTCTTACTTAGAAATCTATCTAGCAACACGAAGAACTTGTATTTCCAGCAGGAAAAAGGTGGTTAATTATAGAAGATTAATATCTTTATGGATAATTAGTAGCCTTGGAAGCAGGTTCTGAAAGGTAGTCTTTAGGCTTTTGGTAGTTGGACAAAACTTTTTCCATTTAAAAGAAACCTACCAGATTTTCATAGTAAAGTGTCGCATTTTGTGAAGGAAAGTTCTGTTGTTGTGGAGGAGAGGAATGTGTGTGAACACTGTGCAAAATGTTGAGTAGGACGGCAACCAAAGGTTGTTCAGTGGGAACAACATTTCAGAATCATAGGGCTGAATGAGACTAAAGTGACCATCTTTTGAGGGCTCCTGTCACTGAATAAACAGCCGAACACAGAAAGTTTCCAAAAGAGTTTAATAAATAACGAGGTCCTTTTTTTTGTACTGTATAAACTATAAATATACCATGCAGTCCTTTATAACTTAAAATAATTTACAGACTGAGGTAGGGGGGTAGGAGGATGTTCTCAGGGGGTTTAGATGCACCTCAGGGTCTCCCTGACTTCCTGCTGAGCACACACACACAGGCAGTGTCAATGCGGATGAACCTCCAGGCTGCCTGTTTGCCCTCCATGGTGAGCGCTTTGACAAAGGTGTGTGTGGTGGTGCAGTAAGAGTTCCAGTGCTTTGCATCGATCCCTCGGCACCCACTGGACACTGGCTTAGGGTCCCTGCACTTGGTCTCGAAAAAGTACTGCTTAAAAACATTGTTGTTAATGTTGACTTCTCCCAACACTGTCACCTCTTTGCCTTTAATGTCGGTGGCTGTGGTCTTGTCCCCAACCCACATGCTGACGCTGTCGCACACGGAGAACTCTCCCCGGTGTAACACGGGATGTGCAGTCCTCTTGGTCCTGGCAGTCCTGTTGAGAGAACCTGCACTGCTGAGAAATCCCATGGTGTGTCCTTGCCCTGACACTGGGGGAGGTTGTGTGCTGAACAGCACCCGAGGAGACCGGAATCGCCTCTTCTTAAAATCCTTAGGGTCCATGGTGATATTTATAGCTTCTCTTCTACTTATCGTCCAAGTAGAGTGGCCCTGGGATGTCTGTGGAGCTGCCTCGGGAATGTGGTGTCTGTTACTCTGGTGGGTGTTGAGGAGGGAGTGTTCTGCAGGATACTCCAGTGGAACATTGTCCTCTGACTTTGGAGCTGCCTGTGTGCCGATCAAAAAAGCTATGATCAGAGTGTAGTACAGCATGGACATTACGCTATGCACCTAGGACAAAAGAGAAATGTACTGTTACTGGAAGCCATGCTGACAATCAATTTACAAGATACCCAGGATCACACAGATTTTATCAGGTATTCATGTGGGTGCCAGATGTTATTCGTCCAGAAGAGCCCATTCAGACAGCATAAATGTTCTTAATAAAGCGAGAACATTAGAAAATAATAGCTAGATTATTATTAATTCCTCTGGTATTTGTTATTAGAACACTGTTTATGAAGCACTTGTTTGGTGTTATTAATGTGGAGACCATATGGCAACAGCATGTTCCCCAGAGTAAAAAATGTCTAGTGATTTTTGCAGCAACCTTTCTGGCTGGGGCTGGCCTCTTGGCTGTAAATACCCCGCAGAGCAGTGAGAGTAGGAGCAGTCCCTTGGCTAAAATAGCTGCCCAGTCACTCCGTTTGTGTTCAGAGGTGTCCTTGGGGCGAGGGTGGGGACCACCAAGCCGGTGCTTGTGGAAGGAGGGGGAGCCTTGGTGAATCCTGCTCTTACCATGTGCTTATCTCCCCTAAGGACAGGCCCCACCACTCTGGCAGGCTCGGCAGCTTCCAGCAGCCTCCATCTGTCCCATCCACATTTTTGGGACGCAGCACATCACCACATCATGATTTTGGATAGCTAAAGCTCGGGCTCCTTCCCAGAAGAGCTCAACCATCATATGTCACAAGGGCAGATGGGGTTTTTGCCATGTTCAAGCTGCCTACGAGGACAAATACGGGTATTACATAGGAGCACTGTGTGTGACAGCCTGCTTCTGGGTTGGCACAGCACAGCTAAAACCGTTGTGGCCACAGTACTGGGAATTACATATAGGGAAACACCTTCCTTTTGTCAGCGTGCCATGAGCAAGAAGCTCCACAGTGTCACTGCACAGCAGATCCAGTGCTAGTCTTCCTTCAAGCTGGAGAATGTGCACCTCTGTTGGGGTTGGAAAAGCGTAAAACAATGTCTAAAACATTGCTAAGAATAATTTAATGCAGCAGTAATACCTTGTTAGGTAACTATTGGGTTTTGCTTAATTCAGCCACTTGTTAACAAATCAGCAGCAGGCATCTTGGGAATAAAAGACATTCAGAAATGACCTGAAATTGCAGTTAAGGGCAGACATTTTATTTCCTCTCTGAAGACTTCATAAGCAGAGACGGGATAAACAGACAAAAACTCCCCAGTGAGGCTCCTCCCCTGTCTCTTTGCCTTGTTTTGCCTGACATGTCTCAGCTGGCCCCGAATTACACTGTGTCCGGCCAGGAGGCAGGCAGCTGCACAGAGACTGGACAAACAGGGTTTTGTAAAGCCGGAATCAGGCTCTGCAGTTCCACTGTGATTTCCCAGCATGTCTTAATGTTTTTTCTGGGTGTGGGTCAATTAGTGTTGAAGTTCCCCCTTTCTGTTCAGCTTTCTCAGCCTAGAATCCCAAGCAGTGCTAAGCCACTCAACTTTAGGGCTTTAGCTTTGCTAGAGCACAGTGTTGCAGGAAATGCAGAACCCCTCAGATGTCCCATAGGATCTTGTGTGGATAGTCTTATCTCAGACGAGCTGGAATAAAATAAACAGCAGTGTTTGTGCAGGACTGGGCCGGCATTTAAGAAATCAGGAGATGCCAGTTGAAGGTAGTGACTGAAGAGGGTAAAGATGCTGCAGCATCAAGAGGAGAAGAGAAAGGCCAGAAGTCACATTAGTTGTTGTCTGTGCAACAGTTGGTCTGGAAGAACTGGGGGCAAAATGATGACAAGGAGAGTCAAATCTCCCCGCAGAGAAAATCTTTACTGTTCCAAAGCTACTTTAACTTGCTTAAAACAAGGCTGAGGGTTGCTGCTTTCCCACATGCTGCTCATGCTTTAGCAGTCATCATCATCTGTATAAGGAAATAGAGCTGGGTGTAGCTCAATAGCTTGGCTGTGCACGATGCAGAGAGTAACCCCTTGTTCTGCAACCAAATTAAAATCAGATGGTTCATTACATCTCTAAAGAGTTTGCTTTCCTGATGGAATTGTTAATGGAAAAGGTTTGCAGAACAAAATCCAGGCATAATTTGGGCCTGCCAATGGCAGCCTCAAACTATTGTGTTTACACAGAAGCCCTTTTTTTTTAATATGGTTTCCTTCTATAGGAAAGAGCTGTTGCAGTGTCAGCAAAGAGCTGTTTCTGGTTTTGTGCTACACAAGATTCACTGGTCTAAAATGCAGCTAGAGAATCATAGAATCAATTTGGATTCTAAACTGGATTCTAAAATGTAGCTATCACCCTTCTCTGAGTTTCTGATGTTGCATATGTTAAGATTGTTGTTTCAAAGCCATTAGCACAAACTTGGAAGGATCTCACCTGCTTTTTTGGGGAGGTTTTATTGTTGGTTTTTTTTAAAGCTTAGCTGATTCTAGGGCTGGTAGTCCATGGCTATGTTTGTAACACTGGTCACAAAGGTTATCACAGGCACTCCAGTGCCACTACAACTGCTAAAACAGAGGATGTTTAATGAGTCTTTGAAGTGGCCCATCTCGTTTTAAGTAACCATTCCCTACAAAAGAGATGATTTCTGGAGACAGAATAAAAGAAGACAGAAGAAGTGGAAACTCCCATTCTAGCCAGACAACAGCTAGCTAGTGGCTATCTGTGAAGCAACATGCTTTAAGAAGCCTAAGATCTAAACTTTTCAAACAATAAGAGCATTAAATGCAAACTGCTCTCATCTTCGTACTTTAGAAGACAGACTGCTGATTTTTTAAGTTCAAGGTGACATCTTTCTTCCCCACCTGTATGTTCATAGAATCATAGAATGGTTTGGGTTGGAAAGGACCTTAAGGTCATCCAGTTCCAAGCCTCTGCCATGGGCAGGGACACCTCACACTAGACCATGTAGCTGAGGGCTCCGTCCAACCTGGCCTTGACCACTGCCAAGGATGGAGCATGTTGGTCAGGTGTCATTTAAACACTTCTCCTGGTATTATCTGTTCTCCTGGTATTAGCCTGTTAAGGCTACGGTCTGATAGTAGTAATAGGTGATTTCCCTGTGTGTGTGCGTTGTGCTTACCTTGGAGTGTACTGCACAGAAAGCTGCTCCCCCAGCAAGGTGTTTATTTCATCCAGATGCCGGGCTGGGGTTGGCTGCCGCATGCCATCGGGCCAGTCTGACTGTGTAGCTCGGTCTGAGAGCTGCTTATTCTGCGTTCCTCTAGAAGTAGAAGTATTTGTTTCAATAATTAGCCAACAAAGAAGTGTTTTCAGTAGCATTCCCTGCTTGACAACAGGAGTACAGGGACAAATCCACTTGTTTGACTGTCTGCACTGTGCCTTTTGCACTTCAGTCTTGAGGTTGTGTCTAAAGTGCAGTTCTCGACTTTCAAGAGCAGCACATTTGTAAGACAGAGCTGCCTTTATTCAGCACCTTTACCAGACTATATTTGACAGTCCACTGCTCCTGATCCTTCTTGGGCATCTTCCAGGGTCACCAAAACCAGGAGTGATGCAGGAGTGAAGCAATACCTGCTGATGTCACCATCTGAGCTCTGTTTGCACAGCAGCAATAGACATAGGAGGGCTCAGACCCCCCAGAGTCTTTGTCTGGGACGCAAGTCTGGTTACAAGCCACAAGTTGTGTGCCAGCAAACGCAGCCAGTATGAAACTCAGTGGCTCCTCTGCTTGCTTGTCCAGATTGGTCTAACCAGGAGCATCGCCAGCCCTGTGCCCTTCTTCTGTCACTGTACCTTAAAAAGGTGCATGGCTGTTGTCAATACTCAAAAGCAGAGATGTTGTAGTACCTTCAGGAGAAGAACTTACCTATGCCCTGTCCACAAATCTCCTATGCACACATCTCATTATGCAGTTTGTGCCCCATGGTTTCTCTTTCTTTAGATGCCCCAAATGCTGGAAGTCCTTTAGAAGCCCAGAAGGAGGGTTACCAACTCTATGCATAGAGGTACCTCTGTGCAGGGTACTGTGCATAGTACCCTGCAGTCTGCAGTGAAAACAAACTCCTGTTTCTCGGTTGAGTTTTGTCAGCCCATATGGTAACATCATCAGTGGTTGTAATACTCCACATGAGATACCAGCTACCTACAGGGAAGTTCCAGCCTCCCCTGCCCCCATCACTCTTTACGCTATATGAAGAAATGCAGTTGCAAAGTTGGCTGTCCTGTTTTGTAGTAATGTCACGTTTATTTAGTTACAGTGAGTGGAGGAGAAGAGCAAGTGTGCAGCTCAGCAGACCAGAGTGACGGCATCTCCCAGGTTGTCCAGGGATAGTAACTGGACTGCTGATTGTTTGGAACATTACTTCCTATTGAGCAATTTCAGAAGAGTGCTGAGGATCTGTTTCGGAGGGGAGATGATGCATGAGATCTTTCATTAATACATGGAAAAAGTGAATTCTAAGCTCTTATGGTGCCAGAGAAAGAGACTCTGCGTGCTAAAAGCCTGCTCTTCCCTTATCTACCAACACTGTATCTCCATCACAGAAGGCCACCAAATTTGTTGGCACAATTTGCTCTTAGTGAAACCATGTTGGTGGTCACCAGTCACCTCCTTATATTCCATGTGCCTTAGCATATTTTCCAGGAGGATCTGGTCCATGATGTTGCCAGACACTGAGGTGAGACTGACCGGCCTCTAGTTCCCTGGGTCTTCCTTTTTTCCCTTTTAAAGCTGGGAGTTACGTTTCCCCTTTTCCTGTCAGTGGGACCTTCACCAGCCTGCCACGACTTCTCCAGTATGTTGAATAGTGGGTTGGAAACTGTATTTGCCAGTTCCCTCAGGACCTGTGGATGCATCTCAGCTCATGGACTTGGGCACCTTCATATTCCTTAGATAGTCTCAAACCTGACCCCAAATCAAAGGAAAACTATCATTTTCATGCCGACGCCTTCTCAGCCGACTACATTTTTGATTGTATATTCATGAATGCTATTGAAAGTGATAGAAGTAATATTTCATTAATCATCTGTTCCCTTTAATATGGTAAATAAGGGTTGGATAAAGTAAT